ATTTATATTAATAAGATTCAAGGAGAAAAGTCATGCTTGTCTAAGTAGATTTAGGAAAAGCATTTTATTAATTTCAAAACATATTCGGGGCACCTGGGTGGCTCAGTCATTGAACGTCAGCCTTCGGCTCAGGTCATGATCCCAGGGTACTGGGATCGAGCCCCGCATCGGGCTCCCTGCTCCACGGGAAGCCTGCTTATCCCTCTCCCACTCTCCCTGCTTGTGTTCCCTCTCTCGCTGTGTCTCTCTCTGTCAAATAAATAAATAAAATCTTTAAAAAAAACCAAAAAAACAAACCATATTCATGTTTAAAAGTTCTTAGCATACGTGAAAAGTGTTTCACAAACTGATTATAAAATCAGAAATGCAAGGGCGTAAACAATCTTGAAGAACAAGATAGGAGGGCTTGCTCTGCCAGGTATTAAAATTTGTCGTAAAGTTGTCAAATTAAATGTGATTTTTGTGTAGAGATAGACAAATAGATCATTGGAACCACATAAAGAGCCCAGAAACAGATCCCCACATATATGGTCATTTAATAAATGACAGTGGTGACAGTGTAATTAGTGGGAAAAATTTCCTTAAGTAAGTAGTACTTGGGGTGCAGGGGGAGTGCCTGGGTGGCTCAGTTGGTTAAGCATCAGACTCTTGATATCAACTTAGGTCTTGATCTCAGGGTTGTGAGTTCAAGCTCAGTGTGGAGCCTACTTTAAAAAAAAAAAAGTGCTACTAGGGACATTTGCTACAATATAATGAAATAGGACCACCTACCTCATTCTGTACATAAAAGCAGATTAAAGACCAAATTCGATGGCATAATTGTAAACTTTTTAAAAAAGTTTATACTAGAGAATATCTTCTTTACCTCTGGATATCTTCATCAAATCTGGAAGGTTTAAAAAGCACCAATTTTTTTAAAGGGGGGGAAAGAAGACTGAATTGATTGCATTTAAATTAAGAAATTTCTTTCTTTTTTTTTTAAAGATTTTATTTACTTATTTTAGAGAGAACGCATCAGCAAGGGGGAGGGGCAGAGGGAGAGGAAGAAGCAGACTCCTCACTGAGCAGGGAGCCTGACACAGGACTCAGTCCCAGGACCCTGAGATCATGGCCTGAGCCGGAGGCAGATGCTTAACCAACTGAGCCACCCAGGCGCCCCAAGAAATTCTTTTTTACTTACAAGATACCAAACATGGGGGTGAAATGCAAGGCCTTTTGGGGTTTTAAACATTATTAAGATTTTAGGGCGCCTGCGTGGCTCAGTTGGTTAAGTGACTGCCTTTGGCTCAGGTCATGATCCTGGAGTCCCTGGATCAAGTCCCGCTTTGGGCTCCCTGCTCGGCAGGGAGTCTGCTTCGCCCTCTGACCCTCCCCCCTCTCGTGCTCTCTCTCTCTCATTCTGTCTCTCTCAAATAAATAAGTAAAAAAATCTTTAAAAAAAATTAAGATTTTATTTATTTGATGGGGAGAAAGAGTATATAAGGAGAGTGAGAGGGAGAAGCAGACATCCTGCTGAGCAAGGAGCCTGATGCGGGATTCGATCCCCGGACCCTGAGATCATGACCCGAGCCAAAGGCAAATGCTTAACCAACTGAGCAACCCAGGCACTCTAAACTTTATTAATTTTTAAATGAATTAAAAATTATCTTGGAGAATGTTAATGTTTTGGTAAATTTCGCTGTGTGTTAAATTTTACCTCTTCTATTTAAATTTTGTCATTTTTTTTTTTTAAAGATTTTATTTATTTATTTGAGAGAGAGAATGAGATAGAGAGAGCACATGAGAGGAGGGAGGGTCAGAGGGAGAAGCAGACTCCCCGCTGAGCA